GTGACCAGTAGCTGCAAAATTGCTGTCCATCTGCTGAGGTGATCCTACATTGTTTTTGTTGTTGTTGTTGTTGTTGTTGTTGTTTTCTAAAAAGCTTATCAGTTTTTCATTCACAGGATCAAAACAGGACAAAGTTACTTACCAAGAGGAGTTACTATGAGCCTAATTCCTTCTGTAGATATCTTGATCCAGCCTGGTTAGATGTTATCACACTGGGTAGAGCTTATATAAAAAAAAAAAATGTCAGGGACGACTGGGTGTCTCAGTAGGTTGAGCGTCCAACTTGGGCTCAGGTCACGATCTCACAGTTGGTGAGTTCGAGCCCCCGCATCAGGCTCTGTGCTGACAGCTCGGAGCCTGGAGCCTGCTTCTGATTCTGTGTCTCCCTCTCTCTCTGCCCCTCCCCTGCTCACATGCTGTCTCTCTCTCAAAAATAAATAACTATTTTAAAAAAATGTCAGCCTTGGGGCGCCTGGGTGGCTCAGTCGGTTGGGCATCCAGCTTCAACTCAGGTCACGATCTTATGGTTCGTGTGTTCGAGTCCCGCATCAGGCTCTGTGCTGACAGCTCAGAGCCTAGAGCCTACTTCAGATTCTGTGTCTCCCTCTCTCTCTGCCCTCCCCTGCTTGTGATCTGTCTCTCTCTCTCTCTCTCTCTCTCAAAAATAAATAAACATTAAAAAAAATTTTTTTAAGTCAGCCTGAGTCTCATGGCATGAGCAGTAGGTAGAAATCTTGTCCTGGTAATTTGATCTTCTGGACGCCTCTGGAAGTCCTTGAATATAGGCTTCGTGGCATTTCATATGTCATAAGTTGTCCTCAGATTAATTGACCCAAATATCTGTTTTCTTTCCATGGAGGCAATAGTGATGGAAAAGTGCTACACAAAATGGGCATAATAAGGGCAAATAAAAAAGAAACAAAGGAGGAAGGAAGGAAGGAAGAGTGAGAGAGAGGAAGGAAAGAAGAAAGAAAGGGAGAGAGGAGGGAAGGAAAGGAGAGAGAGAAAGAGAGAAAGAGAGGAAAAAAAGAGATGAAGAAAAGAAAGAAGAAAAGAAGAGATGGGACCAGTGGTCTACCAAGGCCTTTTTTAAATTACCAGGAAAAGTGTTCAGAGAATTAAAACGTTTTGATTTCAGGTGTTCAAGTGTGTGAAACTGCTCAGAGACCACATCAAAGGAAAAGCCCTTCTGTTCTCACAAACACCAGGTCTGCTGAGTCAGCAATTTGGGATTGTATTTCCGAAAGAGGAAACTCTTCAGTAACTGAAAACACAAACATGCCAACAGACACATACTTGAGAAATGTGAACGATGGTCTCCATTTTGTAGTAGCCACCTTTACCATTTAGCAACATGAGTCTTTACCAGGCAATGCACAATGAGAAAATAATTTCTGTGATGACAGTATTTTCCTGGAAGAAAAAGAAATTTGTAGAATTCTATCTCCCATGGAAAAATAGATGCCTTACTAAAACTATAATTTGAAAACAAACCCAGTTGGCTGTCATGTTGAAAGAAGAAAACTCTTGTAAGCAATTGTGCTATGTTTAAAAATGCAGGTGTAGTCCTATCTCTGTGGTTAACTAGCTTGGGACAAGACATTTGCCATCTCTGGGCCCCCACAGCCCATTGGTTGTGTGTGCATTGGGCTCTGTATGTCCAAAGCGCCCTTTCTGTCCCAACAGCTTATGACCCTGTGGTTAGAGCAAGTAGGATCTGCTAAAGAAAGACAATGGAGTCTTTTACCTGATAAGCAATAATATCCTCCAGTCTGATGAAGCCACCTGCTATTTGCCTGCTGGGATCTCACAATGTCACACAGACTCAGAAGGATCTGTAAGAAAACCTTCTCTATTACCAACCTTCCACTCCTTTCTCAGTTGAGCAACAACAAATAGCAAAATCCAGCAGGCACAATAGCTTCTCTCTCTCTCTCTCTCTCTCTCTCTCTCTCTCTCTCTCTCCTCCCATTGAGGTTGGGTATTTCTAGTGTCCTATCTTTATGTTAACTAATTCTTTCCTTATATTTCTTAAAGGCACTGCTGAGCCTTTTAGGGCATTCTTCATTTCTCTTACTGTGTTTTTTAGTTTTGCATTTCCTTTGGTTCTTTCCCATAATTTGCGTTTGGGCTTTCCATAATTTGTGCTGAATTTTCCTGTCTGATTTTGCATGTTGTCCAATTTTTCCACTAGACTAGAGGCTTTATCATATTAATCATAGTTGTTTTAATTTTTTTAATGTTTATTATTTTTGACAGAGAGAGAGAGATAGAGCATGAGCGGGGGCGGGGCAGAGAGAGAGAGAGACAGAATCCGAAACAGGCTCCGGGCTCTGAGCTGTGGCCACAGAGCCCAATGCGGGGCTTGAACTCATAGACTGTGAGATCAT